CAAAGCCTCACCTTCTCTGCCTTATTTCCTCCCCAGCAATGCTTGTGCTTAATCTCATATTAGTACAAAACACACTCTCTCTGTTTCTGCACTGGCAGAGCACAGTAGTCCTCTAGAAATTGTCAGTGAGTGTTTGATATCAAAAGATTATTTTGTTATAAATCACTCTCAAAGATCCCTGTGGCCTGCAAAACAGACTTTTGTGTTGCTATCTTTACAAGCTGTATGTAGACTAAAAACGGATGTGCTTCTGTGTTTCCACAATAATTATTGTCTTTCATGCTACCAGCGCAGCAGCATTGACTGCTCCAGACAACATCGTGTGCATTGTGACTCTGTCACACACACAGCCAAGCACAAACCTTTCCTGATCTCCATGTCACTCGTTAGCCTCTGTGGACCCTGGGCCATGGGCCATCAATCGCAATGCTGTATTGCAAGGAGTTCACTGCCCAGGGTAACCAACCTGGAAGCTGAAACGAATGAATTTGACTCTGAGGCTTACTTGTAAGAAAAGTAATTCATCTTGCTGAATTTCATTCATTGTCAAGCAAACTTTTGCTGATGAAGACTAAAAGTGTTGAGCATGCCAATTCACTCTCCAAGTCAGGTCTCCAGCTCTCCTCGTTGGACTTTGTAGGTAATTAGCACATCGTTCTTATCCTATTTTCTACAGATTCCCTAAGAGACATCAGTGAAAAGGAAGGTGTCAGTGTCAGTGAGAGAAGGGGGTTTTGCAACTCAGACTTTTGTTCCCTCTCCCAAAGAAGCTCCAAGTTTGTTTAGTGCCCCAAATTTGCTCAGAAGGGAAGGAGGAATGTGCAAGGCAGCTGCAGAATGTTCCACAGCAGCTGTGTATGGGATCTCCACACAGCCTTGCCACTGAGCCAGTATGAGGCAAGCATGAATCCAGCTCACATCCATCCGTGGTTTAAGCCTCTGTGACGGTGCAAGAGGTGGAGATACACAACACTGGGTGTAATCTCAGCGTCCTTCAGGCATCTGGCCTATCAGAGGCATTTGTTTTAGTTTGGCATCAATTGCTCTCTTGAGCTGTCTGTTATATGGGGAGCCTACACTGGCCACTGCTCAAGATGCCCTGCGCAAACTCATCAGTGAGCTGACAGTCTCAGAAAAGTGCTGAGGAGCTGCCAGGGGATGTGAGCGAGAGCAGGACTGGCAGAGCCAGCAGGGTGCCAGGGCATGGGCCCCAAAGGGGCAGCAGGATCAGGGGCACGCAAGGAGCCGTGCACTGCCCTGCCTAGTCCGGAGGAGCACCAGCGGCACTCTCATCGCTCAGGCTCTGAGTGTTGTCCGGGTTTCTGATGGGGCCCATACGCTGAGATCTGATTCTTACACTTTATTCGCCTTTCAAGGACCGGAATTTATTCACTTAAATTCTGATTGCTGGGATTCTTTATGCTTGCTGCACAGGGGCAAGCAATTCAGTTTCTGGGAAACATGTATGGGTAGTAAATGTACATGATGTTTGTCACTCGTGTGAGCAAAAAAAAGCTGATGAAACACAAAGGTTAACATAAAGGACAAAGAGAAGGATGAAAAAACAGTTAAGAAATCTGTCAGTCAAACAAGAGACACTCAGATGCCTACATTTGTTCTGCTCATCATAAATATTTTCTCACACAAAGTACTTTACTACTAAAAGGATCATAAAGGCTGGATCCTTATATTTTGATCTTGGAATCACTTCTGGAAATGCAGATGTTCTAGCAAAATGTAAAATTGTTCATGTTTTAGACAAATTAAAATATATTTTTAATTACCTAGTTTGATTTACATCTGTATATTATAAAATGCAGAGAAGACACTTTATAAAACATACATTAAAATATTAAAACTGAGCAATAGGGCTAGAGTTCAAATGTCAAAACACTATCAAAAAGAACCCTCTGCCTCAGTATCCTGTGAAATGAGAAGCATGTGATGGTAAGACAAGCCTTTTTCACTTCTAATGGTGATTCGGAGTGAGAAGCATTTCCATTCACTGCCAATGAATGGACCAAATCAAGAACACTGAGTTTAGATTTCTTGCTTGTCTCAAAAGCTTTAAGTGAAAGAAACATTCTGCTCCCAAAAGGAGTTGTAAAAGATCTATTTAGTGCATGGAGATTTTCATATCCTAGCAGACTCTAAAAAGGAAAAATAATTTCCAGAAGTAATGGAAGTAATTTCCAAAAGTCAGCCATACACTGCAGACAGGAACGGGTGTGAGCTAAAGGCACAGTTTTTGCTCCACATCAGCTGGAGCAAAACCTGGTGGCAGCCAGGTTGTCCTGCAACCTTGGAGCTCCTGTCTGCAGGCAGAGAAGAGGGAAAAAGTTCAGCAGAAGCAGAAAATTACCTGTGGCCCAAGCCGTACTACAGGCTGGCAATGAAACAATGTTTTAGCTGTTTAACCTGAGCTACCTTTTTTTCTTTTTAAATATCAACAGTTTATTTTAGAATAACTGTAATCAACAAAATCTAAGGCAAAGTACAGCTGTAATCACTCTTTGCACCATCTCTTGCAATTTTGGGGGGGAATTAGATGAAACTCATCATAAGTAAAATTAGTTCAACCTTTTTGAGAAAACGAGACTTGAGATGAACTAAATGGCACACTAATGCCATGTTATGTGGTGCACCTGGCAGCCGTGTCATGCCGGGCCAGCTGCAAAAATGAACTGGCTTGGGAGCTTCAAATCTTGTTATGTAGTGCCATCTTGAGGCCTTGGGAAATGAAAAGCAGCTTTTCTGAGTACAGACAGTTTTTATCTGGTTGTAGTCGGAGCAGTCCATTCTTCAGGGTGTATGATTGAGTGCATTCAGCTGGATTTGTGAACAGAAGACAGGGATGGACTCACCTGGCTGGAGCACCACTGGCTCTTTCCCTGCTCCCTGGTGGCACCAGCTCTTTGAAACACCTTTCCCAGAAACATTTCACCTCTTTAGCATTTAAAACCCCCAGCGACAGACATCACACTGGTGCTGCAGATGAGATTGAGGACCACAGCACATGGCTGCTCCTCTTAGGCAAGCACAAACATATAGCTGGTCCTCTGCCCTTGTGCTGCCAACTTCTGTCCCTCCTGAGAGCTGGCAGTGCAGGGAGCTGGTGCCATGTGTGCAAACCCCCACCTTGCCCCCAGCTACTCTAAACAGAGTGGTTTGATAGCTTAGGTGCCTGGTGGCCATACCTCTGCCACCTCCAGCACAGGTGGGGACAGTGGCTCAGGGCTGGGGTTTTACATAGAGATATTGTGTCATGATGGAGCAGCAGCCACCCTGTGCCTGGTTTTGGGCTGCAAGGGCTCCACAGGGCCAGAGAGGACAGGCAGCAGGATGGGAGTTGCAGGCTAGAGTAAAAACAAGGCACCAGAGGAAAGTTTAGAGGAAGAACCTGAAAGACCACACAGGGAGGGCACAGCAGGGACACCAGGAAGTTGACGTGCATTGAAGGGCAGCATGGCTTGGCTATGGCACCTCACCTGCCATACAGTGCCTGCAAAGGGAAGCGGTGGTTGGGTCTTGGGGTGACACTAGGGGCTGAGGAAAGGGGTCTGGGCAGCGGCCCCAGCAGTGGGGCACACAGGGATGGGGTGCCCATGGAGGGTACAGCCCTGAGGAGCTCGGGGTAGCGGGTCCCCCATGGCATTGATGTGTTTGCAGTTTGTGCCTGGTCCTTTGATACAGCCCATGATGGGGACGGGTGCACTCCTCACTGGGCTGACAACTGGCTGGATGGGTGGGCCCAGAGAGTGGTGGTGAACAGTGCTGCATCCAGCTGGGATGCTATCACCAGTGGTGTCCCCCAAGGATAGCATAGGGCCCAGTTCGATTCAGTATCCCTATTGATAATCTGGGTGAGGGCTTGAGTCTCCCATTAGCAAATTAGCAGACAGCATCAAATTGGGTGAGAGTGCTGATCTGCTGAAGTGCTGGAAGGCTATGCAGAGTAATCTGGGCAGGGTGGATCAGTGGTGAGACAAGTGGCATGAGGTTCAACAAGACCAAGTGCCAGGTCCTGCACTTGGGTCACAACAAACCCATGCAGTTCTATGCACTGTGGCAGAGGGGCTGGAAAGCAGCTGGGGTGCTGGTTGCCAGCTGCTGAGCACGAGCCAGTGTCCCAGGTGGCCAGGGAGGCCAGCGGCATCCTGACCTGTATCCAGAATAGTGTGGCCAGCAGGCCCTGGACAGTGATTGTCCTGCTGTACTTGGCACGGATAAGGCCACTCCTTGTTTGCTGTGTCCAGTTCTGGGCCCTTCTATTTGGGAAAGGCTTTGAGGTGCTGCAGTGTGTCCAGAGAAGGGCAGTGGAGCTGGTGAAGAGGCTGGAGCACAAGCCCTGTGAGGAGTGGCTGAAGGAGTGGGTCTAGCCTGGGGAAAAGGAGGCTCAGGAGGGACCTTCGTCTCAGTTACAGCCTGAAAGGAGGCTGTGGCCGGGTGAGGGTCGGCTTCTTTCCCAAGCAGCCAACAGGACAAGAGGACAGTGTTAAGCTGAGCCTGGGGAGGTTTAGGTTGGACATGACAGAGATCTTCATAGAGAGTGATTAGACATTGGAATGGGCTGCCCAGGGAGGTGGTGGAGTCGCCGTTCCCGGCGGTGTCTGTGGAACTTGAGCATTTGGCGCTATGATCTAGGTGGCATGGTGGTGTCAGTCACGGGGGGCCCGATGATCTATCTCGCAGCCCTTTTCCAGCCCAAGGGCTCGGCGACTCCCGGCGAAGCCGAGGCCTCCGCCGCCCCTCGGCCGCTTCCGCGAGCGCTCGCGAGCTTCCGGCCGCCTCGGCCGCGCGCGGCGGGGCGGGGGGGCGAGCGCGCGCTCCCCCTCCCCCCCGCAGCCCCGCTCGGTGCTTCCCGCGCGGGCCGCCCCGAGGCGGAAGCGCCGCTCGCGCCTTCCCGCCGCGCGCTCGGCTCTTTCCGCCTCCCCCTCCGGGGCGCTTCGTTCGTTTCCGCGGCCGCTCGGCTCTTTCCGCGGCGACCGGCGGCGCGCTCGGCCGTTCCCGCCGCCTGGCGGGCGCTCGGCGCTTTCCGTGAGCGCTCGGCCGTTTCCGTGCGGGGCCGGGCGCGCTCGGCGCTTGCTCCCTGGCTGGCGCTCCTCAGTCGGCCGCTGCCTGCCTGTCGCCGGGCTGGGAGCGCCTGTGTGTGTGAGTGACGCGGCGGAGGTGTAGTTTGACGCGGTGTGTTACGTGGGGGAGAGAATAAAACTGCGGCGAGATCCCAGGCGCGAACGAAAGCAGTGACGGAGCAGCCTGGTAACCGGTAAGAGGAGGACGGCGCCCAGCAAACAGGGGCGGGGGGGAGGGAAGGAAATGGAGCCCGGCGGGGACCAGGGGAGCCGCCGGGCGGCAGGACGCGGGGGCCCGGCCGCGCACCGCCCGCGGGAGGGGCGCCCGCCTTAAAGATGGAGCCGAGCCCTGCAACATCCCCGCCGCCGCCGCGCCGCGAACAAAGGATAATGGCGGATGGGAGCCGGCCCGGCGGCGGCCGCCACGGCCGGGCGGCGGCGGCTCTGTCGGCAGCCAGCGGCGGCGCTCAGCGCGGCGGGGAAGGGGCGCCGCGCCCCCCGGCCCCCGGAGGAGGCGGCGGAGGACGACGACGAGGGGGAGCGGCGGCGGCGTGGGGCGGCCGCGCTCCCGCCCGCGCCCCCTCCCCGCCGTGTGCGCTCCGGCTCTCGCTCCCCCGCTGCCGCCCCCGGCCCCGCCGGCCTCCGGGGACCCTCCCGCGGGGCCGCCGCGCCCGCCGGAGTTCCGCTTCCCCGGCGCCCCGAGCGCGCCGTACGGATAAACAAACAGACTCCCGCCGCGATGGACACGAGCGCGCGGGGCGCTCCCCGGCTCCGTAAGGAGAAGCGTTTAATAAAATCTGTGCTCGGAAGCCGGGGCAGCGCTTGGTCTGGTGGTTCGCTGTTACTCCGTCTCCGGGAGGCCGCGCCGGGCAGAGGTGCCGGTCACCCAACACCGCGCTCCGGGCGGGACGGCGGGCGCAGCCCGAGCCCGGCGCGCAGGTCACGTAGCAGGGATACGGTTCCTCTTGCCGCGCTGCTGCTCCCCTGGCAGTATTTTTAACACCAAGTGAACTTGAGCCAGGCTGCGGCTGGGAAATCTCGGTTTGGGATTTGCTTTTGCCAGTTTTCCACAGACTTGGGTACTGCACAGTGAACAGGATTTGACCTCTATCCCAGCTTTAATAGCAAATGTCAGCTCAAATGCCTTTTTCCACCTCACACCAGCCTTGCCTTACTTCAGCTGGGGGGCTTTTTTTCCTCTTTTGTTGCGTAGAATCGAAGACAGTGTTTTGACTTTGTTTTACTTTCAAATCCTGGATATTTGCAGTTTTGTCTTACAGTTGTAAGCAAAAACAACGTGGCAGCCTTTAAAAACTTTTTAAGCAAATATTGTCACACCTCTTAAATGTATACAAGGATAAAAAGTTCTAAACGGTTATATGATTTTTTTTCATGAAACACTTTCAAAATTTTTGTTTCTTTCTATGAAATATTGGAATGCTGGCTCACAATATGTTTCTGGAATAACACCTGTCTTTTTTTTTTTTTTTTTTTTTTTTTTTCCTCCCTTGGGTTAGAAACATGTTTCTTATTTCTTAAATAAAACACTAAAGACTTTTCAGAAATATCATATATCTGTTATGACCACCACTAAACACGATTTTAGAATATAGGAATTTTGAGACTCTACTAGCATCCTTTCTTCCTTGTATCACAAATGTGGATTTATGCAGTAAAATATGAAGTCACTGAAATAGGTTTTGTTTAAAATGGATATTTGTAATTCACATGTGTACTTTCTTGTATGTGAATTTCTGTTTTCTGTCACTTCCACCACTTATTTTGAAATGAAGTCCAAAGATGCTCTACATCGTTTCACTGTATAATACCAACATGATAAGAGGGTTTCTAAACTTTTAAGTGATTAATAGACATCTGAGGACTTCAGTAAGCAATGTAATTGCTGCTGATAGTGATTAAAGAGAGTGTAATTGTTTGTGTATTTCATTTATTCTTGGTTTGATGGAATACTCACTACGCTGTAAATACAAAAATGAGACAGAAAATTCTTGCTTGTTGTTTTTGTAGTATTAGAAAAACGTTTCAATTTCATAATAGAGTGGAAGACTCTCATATCCATGTTTTCAAATGCAGATCTCTGCATTTCCTCACCAGCTTTATCCCCTCACAGGTCAGAGAGAAAAGGGAACAGAGAGGTGACTGTGTATATGCTAAGCATCACTTACAGGTGACCGAAAAGGAAACTTTTGCATGTAGTAAAGAAGAGTGTAATCATTTTTAATGCTTTCATTCAATTGAGAGAACATCAGTATTCAGATTGGTACTCTCAATATGGTGTTTGGATCTGCACTGAATGGTCTGCATCTAATTTTTTTTTCCTCATAGGGTTGGTGATGTGTGTCTACTACTCTGGGTAAAAAAAAGTAAAGAACCAGTCAAACAAATAAAAAAAATCCAAGACAAAAAAATACCCCAAAGGTCTAAAAGGGGGAGAGGGGTCTGCTGATACAGAAAATTTGGAACGTTCTCATTTAGACTGTCACATCATCAATCTGGCTGTTTCTTGGAAACCTGCACCAGCACAGCTATTGCAATACAAAATCTTCTGTAGATGTTACTCTGCAGAGTGGCTGTTCTGCTGCAGTAAGAAGCAGCCTCTTCTTGCCTAAGTGCAGCTACAGCTCTGTAGTGCATATTTTGATAGGAGACAAGGCCCCAACTGGGAATTTCTGTTGGCACTGTTTTGAAACAAATGGGATATTCACACTTCACCTCTATTTTTGGATCTCTGGAAGCAAGTGGAGATCAGTCACTCATACCACACTTCTCAAGGCTTTTGTGCAGTGAGAAGGCTGTGTTAGCTTTCTGCCACTAATCTACCTAAAGTTAGTTTCATGGGACATGACAGCAATCCTCATCTTCAGAAACAACTGTACCCAATTTCCTTTCAGCTCTCTGGTACCTGCCTGCATTCAGCTGAAGTTATGACAAGGCAATGATTTTTTTTTAACTGAATCAAAAATTGTGTTGCCTCATCTGCAGTCTGAGGTCATATTTCACAGTGATTATGAGCAGCCTGCCATTAATGATCTAGGTACATCTCCCAGCATGAAGGCTTGTACATATTTTGTTCTTCAAAGCTTTTAGATCACTTGATTGTACTGCAGTGACAAAAGGTGAGTGAGAATGAATACAACACCTTCCAGCTTTCCATATTTCTGTAACAGCCTTGTCAGCTGCACAGGAGTTGAAAGTGTGCCAGGCTCTAGTTGGCCTTTCAGGTAAAAAGAGCACTCAAAGCCACCCAAGGGTTCTCTGCTGCTGTTTTGTCTGGCAGTGCTGGATTTATGATATTATGTGTCAAGTGGAAAGAATAGAAAACTCGGTGTTGGAAGAGCCACTTTAAGGTGAGAGGATAAAGAATTTGGAGGGAGCGTGTTCCTGTTTGGATGCATGTGTATGGTTTACCTAACATGTACATACACAGAAGTTTAAAGCAGTACTAATACTTGTTAGTTACTTGCAGTGATTTTTGAATAGTACAGAGAGGTACAGGATATTATCCCAAGATAATAATTCCTATTTTTGTTCTAAGAATATTGTAAGAGTTGGTATTTTGTAAAAAATGACCATTAGGTGAAAAATGGAAAAATAGTTCTGAAGATAGGAAGACCCTGCCAATTGCTGTTCTGCATTTTTTTACTTTTCAGTTGTTCTCTGACAGGAGACTACACTGGCTACTTGAGACACAGTTGCAGGAAGCCTTACAGTGAGCTGTTTTGAAGCTACTTTAGTGCAGGAAACTGAAATAAAAATCTCTATCCTTGATGCTTTCACACTGTTTGGAGGGGAGAGTTAAAGTGATTTGTAAAAATCTCTGATCTTGTAAGTGTTAAGTGGTAGTCTGTTTAGTCAATGAGGTTATCAGGAAAACTCCTTTTCCCTGCACATGGCAGAGCTAAAGTTGAGTTGAAACTACTTCAGATAGATCTCTAAACTTACAAAAGAGCATGTAGCCTAAGAAATCCAGGAATTCTTGAAGCTTATCTACTGGCTGATGAACCGAAATTATAGTTCCTCATAGCATTTTTTGTTAGTAATACTGGCCAAAGCATTTTCCGTGTCTTTTCTATTGCACTCACACAAATTCTTGGGTTTCTGCATGGGGAAGTGGTCCAGCTGTTTGAGAGGTGTGGAGCCTCATTCGTTTTCACCTGGATCATTCCCTCCCCTGATTGCTGCATGGCTGCACAGTAGGTGTACCAGCATAATCAGGGGAAGGGATGGAGCTGGAATGAGCAGGGAGATAAGGGCAGTTCAATCAGCTCTGCTGCTAAATGAGAAAATGCAGCCTCTGTAAAAAGTTTTAAATTATTGCTGTGTTTGTAACTAAGCTGGGTGACACAGATCCTGCTGGGGTTCTTGCCACAGAGCTGGATCTTTTAACTAAGTTGAAGTTCTTACATGTGCTAACCATGAGCAAATGAACAGGAGCAACAGCTGTTCCTAAACTTCAATATTATGTGTTAAACTAATTTGTTGTGCTGCTTATTTACTTGTCAAAAACACCTTTTGTGTATGTTTTTTAGCAAGTTCTCTGTGCACTTCCTTCTTTTTGTTTTTATTCTTCACATTATCAGTTCACCTGTTGCTGTTCACTGTGGCTCTTTGCTGCAATATTTTAATAATCTTCAGAAACTGCAACCTGCTGTGATATTTTGGGTCCGATATTACATGCACTTTTCTTATAGGTGCTACCCTAAATCTCTGATTCTCTATGCTGTCCCAGTGTCCCAGTGTCAATTGGATTTCACTTCCCCTTGCACTTTTCCTTGGGCTTCAATGTCAAAATCTCTTCTCATCTGTAAAATCCCTCTCATCATCTTTTATACCCCATTAAATAATGGATAGGAAGCATTATTTTCTTGCCTTTATTTTCCTGATGACACAGCATCTGGCTGTGTGCAGCTGGCCTGGCCTCAAAATCCACTGGTGCCTGTCCATTGCTCCAAGTAGCATACAATTTGAGCAGGGTTTGTAAATTTACACCTTTCTGGATTGTAGAGAGCTTTCTTTATCTTGAAAAATAACCACCTAGGGTATTACTGTAGGTGTAGGACCCCTGCCCTCTTTGTGACCCTCATACAAATTTTCCTTTTGTACTGATAGGAAAATTCTGGGAGCTAAAAGGGAGGGAAGGTGTGAGAAAGGGTTCTGTGTAGTAATGCCACAG